GCCAAAGTGTGACGTGCCAAAATCTCGACATCTCATCACAGCTCTGTGCCTGTGTCGCCAGGGCCTCCAACCCAACAGCCTTCTTCCCGGCCATCTTAGATGAGCTATCGCATGGCATAGATAGAGCTTCAACCTCACGCCTCAGCTCACATTTCGGAAGACCGGCTGCATTAAAGCTCGTCCCTAAGTATATCATATCATAATATATATGTATATACTATAACATATAGTATATAGCATAGTATATCATACTATATATTAGTTTATTAGTCTTGTAATATGAAGCAAGTCAGGAGCCGAATCCGGAACCCCCGACACCTCCTGTGCCCTGGCTGCACGATCTCCTTTGTTTGTCGCGCTGATTGGCAACCCTGCGGCCCAGAGTTGTTTTTTGGTTTTAGGGTTTAGGGTTTAAGGCTTAGGGTTTTAGGGTTTAGGGTTTAAGGTTTAGGGTTTTAGGGTTTAGGGTTTTTCCAAGACTGTGTGACGAAACTAGCTGGAAACTGCTGTAAAATCATGATGGACCATACGTCCTGTTTGGGTGTTGCGATGCAGAGTCCCGCGCTTGGAACTAAACGATCAAGCCTCCAAACCTCAAGCAAGACCAGCAGCGGCGGATATTGTAGCAGCCATAATGCCTCATGCTCGTGCCGCGATAACTGATAATAGTGCTACTTGCGACAAAGCTTGGATTCTGTGATAGGATTGACGGATAGGCCCAAAATTTGAACCCAGTGCATTCTGATGACGTTGGTTCGGGTCTGCCCGGGCCATCCTCCCAGTCAGTTCTGGAGGCCAGGTAGTTCTCTACATGAGGATCCCTTTTAGGGTCCTGTTTATCAGGGTGTCGTAGTATCTTGAGCACCTAAAAAGGGACCCTAGTTTGAGAACTGTTCACATGTTCGCAACATGTTCGATTTCGGTCACAACCCAGTCTGGGTTGTCAGGGTTTTGGGATCGGGTTTCAGCCTTGCTGGACAGGGTCCTTGGCCCCTTGTCCCCGAGTCAATCATACTCCTGGTACTTCAGGACACCCAAAGTAGGCGATTTTTGGGTTTAGGGTGAACAACGGGTCGTGGAGATGTTGGTAGTTCGAGGGCTTTCGCGGAAGCCAAGGAGGTCGAAGTGTTTGCGCCTGGCCTGGCTGCGCTTCCCCGGCTCATGAAAGGCCCCCGCATTCCACCGTCTCGTCGTCGATTGGTTCATGGTTTTGAAGTTTGGTGTGTAGGGAAAGGTGTCGGGATATTGGCATGCATTGTCGGGCATGTTGGTTTGTCTAAGGCTTGAGGTACCCGGCAGATTCAAGAGACATGGATTGAGAGAGGCAGGTCGTCTGGGTACCTGAAGGAGTCGCAGCTTCTTGAATGAAAGGTTAGTAACTTAGAGGCCGCCTTGGTTCAGAGTAGCCATTTGTTTATTAGTGAGGCAATCCTTGACCGCTACCCTCAACCACCTTCGACGTTGAACCCAACAGCATACAGTGCTAAGCCGGAAGGTGCCAGCTTCCTCTGAGCTGCAGCCGCTGTTTGCGGGAGCCGGGGAAAAAGGAGCTGAGGGGCCCTGTGTAATTCAGCGTTTTGGGGGCTTAAGTATGGTTTAGTGCCGCTTAGGGTTCATGCTTTATGCTTTTTGTGTTTGTGCTCCCCTGAGGGCATGTGCAAGCCTTCAGCATGGAGGTCTCGGACGATGTTGAAGCTGAACGGTGGATTGAGGTGAGAAGGCTAGACGGGATATGAAAGGTCTTCCCAGACTTGTGTTGGGTGGAAGTCTCTGACGAGCCAACAGCCCGATTAAAAAAAAAATCAAGCCGACATCCTGGTGTGCGGGCCAAAACGGGAACATGCTCAGGTTTAGGGCTGAGGGGAGCAGCAGTCACTATTGGTTGGCTTTGGCCAGACGTTCGAAAAATGTTGCGACCGGATGGGTCTGTCGCGAAAAATCAGATTTTTGATGCGGACGCGGTTGCGCATGCCCAAAGATACTGAATTACGAGGGGCGCTAATGTGTTGAGGATGATGCGGGAGTAGCAAGGGACGGAAGTGTTTTTGAAGGCTGAAATCTAGTGCACATGTTTTCAGGCGTGTTGAAGTCGCATATTCAAGTCTCAGACAGTTTGATCAAAGCCTTAGTCTTAGCCGTAGCCACAGCCGGAAAAGCACATAGCCCAGTCGCACAAACCTATCATCCACCACGCAACGTCTGCAAACCCGTATAGAAGCTCGTTCCAGCCGGTACAAGTATCAACTCCGGATAGTTGCGATCTCTCAAAGCCGGCCCTCTCGAACTAAACCCAATTTGATGGAAGTACCCTAAACCCTAAACCCTAAAAAGGTTTGACGTCACCTTGGAGCCCGCACCGGATCAAGGAGGCTCGGTTTAGCCCGGCGCAGGGGCCGACTTAGACTGTCTGTTTAGGGCTTAGGGTTTAGGTTCCGAAAGATAATTTTAAAGGGCTGTAGGATCGACCGTTTAGGGCTTGCGGTTTTGGGGCGTGAGGGGGCTCAGCAGTTTTTGATTTATACAGACTCTAGTTGCTAAGTGTCGTTGAGTGCACCATAGGTCACAGACTAAACGGTTCGGACAAGGCATCGGGTTTTGTTCTAACCATTTGTATGATTAGCTCGTCGGGCACCATCAGCACATACCACCACGACCCTTGAAGGCGCCTTGAACTGAATCGAAACCGAAGCCTGAGACCTGACCCTATATCAACTCACGATTGCAAACCTTCTAGATGGTCCTGAACGCTGACTTGCGAACGAAACCCGACTCAAGCCCTCACCACTACAAGCATGTAAAATTTCATCACCAGCCTGTATAAGACCCTGAACTCTGGACGCCGACCCAACACTGTTGAACCTCCCCTGGCATGTCCCAGTTGTGAGAGCGTAAAGCCTGAAACCCTAAACCATCCTAAACCCTAAACCAGAACTTCTTGTCGGAGGGAAAAAACCAGAATTTCTTGCAGGCTACCCGAATCATGTCGTCACGGCAACGGCCAGAGTGTCCCTCGCCGGCTCTGGCAGACGCACTTGGTTTGTACTTTAGTAGCTGAGTGAGTACGCTTTACACTTGCTGGAGGAGGATCAGCACTTATAGAACTGCAAGTATACACTTCTAGGGGCTTATGTTTCCCTTAGTTAAGGACTCTACCTTATAGTAGGATCCCTCATATGATCAAGGTATACATCCCTTAATTAAGGGATTTTGGACGGTCCTGGGTGTTTTTACGGGTCCATTCTGTCGGTACAACACGAACAGGAGAAATCTCCAAGCCGCATTACTACCGTCAAGTTTATCATAGCATAGTGATATTGCGCCTCCCGTGATCTGCTTTCTGCGATGCTTTGAAAGCCATGCGCTAAGGCCGGATCCTCATAAGACCACCTGGGTTTGATTAGAGAGTCGGGTGGAGCGGGAAGAGACCCTTCAAGATGGAGTTGCGGCTAAGGGAGACAGTCGAGCCTTCCTTGGTGATCCAGAGCTGATATGCCAGGAACCTCATGATGAGCTCAAACATGGTGCGGGACTTACTGTAGGCTTAGTACAGGGGCCTAAAGAATTACCAATACTATTTTGGGGGCTCCTTATTATGAGTATAGTCATCGTGTAATATACACCAATACCTTATTCCGATCATTAAGGCCTCTACTCTATAGTAAGTTCTTGGCAGCGACTGGGCTTGATCCGTTGATGGAGACATGGCGCGATGCACCGTGTTTCTTCCGAGGTGAGTTGGCATGGTTATCGGCAGAACGCAAGAATTGCAGATTTACAACAGAGGTCACGTGTAGGTGTCGTCTGGGATTCTTGTAAACGCTTTCAAACAGTCGTATGGCTACTACCACTGGACAACGCTCGCTGTACCTCTGCATTGCAAACTACTCCTTGTGCTCTCTAAAAGACTTGTATAGAAGCCTCAGTGATCACCTACTCTACTATTTTCAGGGTTGAGGTCTGCACCAAAGATCCTTTTGCATCATGCCTGTATGGTTCCAGCTAGCGGTGGACTGACACAAGAAGGCACACATTTTCGCAACAGCCAATCAGTGCCAGCACGACTGACTGGGCTGCGAGGATCTTAGCGGCAAGTGCTTTCATCATCAGAGCAGAAACAAGTTTCAGTGAGTAGGGCCCATGGCCTATATTGATGGCATGGTGACTTGTAGTGGGAGTTGTAATGTTTCAGCCGCAAGATAAACCAAATCTGCTTGCACTGAGATTGTGCACGGACGGAGACCACATAACGCCACAGGCGCGGTCCCTAAAACCCTCAACCCTAACCGTGATGCAAGAGAGTGGGGCTTGGAGGGTTGGAGCTCTACTATAGGGGCCTTAATAATTGCCTAAACCATGTTGGGGGGGGGGGTTCCTCATTATATTATCATAGTTTTATATACACCGAAACCCTTTTCTAATTATTAAGGCCCCTACATTGCGCAATTAGGGCTTTCGCAGGAGGTCTTGGGGCTTTGGCATCTGAGTCCTTCGTCGCGCTCCAAGCCCCAGCAATTCCATCGAAGCATTGCCAGCAGAGTCAGCATGGGCTCACCGGAAACGCAATGTTTGCTCTTAGCCAGACCGAAGACAGCATTGCATTGTGCAGGAAGTGTCCCGGACGTATTTAGGCATTTGGGCCATGCATCCAGCAGTTGCCTCGAAGCTTTGGGTAATGGGGCCGGCTCTGCGAGCTGTGTTGCTGGCAGATGCTGCGCTGCTTGGGCTTCAGACAGCATGTGGGGTGTTTTCAGGATTGTGGCCAGAAGCCAGCAACCGATAATGATATGCGGTAGCATCACACAGCAACCACCCGCCATCAGTGCTACTACCGCCACCGCCATCACCACTGCAGTATCTGCAAACAACGTTGTCTTAGGCACTTCAAAAATGGTATTGCTACCCCAACGACGAATGGCTACTGTAGGTGTTGTTCTGCTTCTTGGTGCTGATGAAAACACACAGCGTGCTGAGGGCCCCTGTTGATCCGCGATGTTGGGCAGATGAGTTCAGTGGCCAGAGGGAAGCATGTTGCAAGGATGCAGCCGTAGGCTCCGATTTGGGATGCTGGGGGGGGCGTTTCTTGTACGAGAACTGCTGTTTGGGAGTCTTGGATCGCAATGAGCACATCTGTATGTTGGAACCTGAACCAACGGGTTTTTGAGGCACGGCGAGAACCAATCAAGGAGTTGGTTTTTGGGATTTTGCCAGGAACTGCTTCTTCAGCAAATCCCAATTTGGTGAGGAAGATTTGGTCGTTGAGTTTTTTGGGTGGCAGACAAAGACAGCTGGAATCTATGTTGAGATCGGAGCTTTTGATGGCATCACGTTTTCCAACACGCTCTCGTTGCACAGCTGCCTGGGTTGGTCTGGTATGTTGGTTGAAGGCAGTCCGCGCAACTTCGAGAGGCTACGTCGAAACTTGGCAACCACCCGCCCCACCAATGTGGTTGTCCACTTCGGCGCGGTCTGCGCGCCTCCAGAATCAAACTTAACGTTCCTAACTGGCAAGCAAACGGGATTGGCTGAGCACGGAGCAGCTGACGGCGACGCGAAACATCTGTTGCTGCCTGAAGCTGCACAGCGCAAGTCTCATCGCAATTATGATGGCACTGCTACCGTGCCTTGCAAGCCAATGTCTTGGTATCTCCAGTCTCTTTCGTCCAGCCACGTGGACTTCTTCTCCTTGGATGTCGAAGGCTCAGAGTTGGAGGTGTTACTCACCATGAACTTTAAAGAAGTTACTGTGGAAGTGTTTATGATCGAGCTGCTGGAAAGATCCGAGTCTGACAAGCAGAGAAACTGGAAGGTGCTAAACCTGATGGCAAATCTTGGGTACTGCAAGTGCCGCGGTGCAAAGATAAAGCACAGCGGGCTTTTTGTCCGGGAGCACGGGCCATTTTCAAGCAAATGTGCCTGAGTCGGGTTCTCGTTTGACCGCCCTGCTGGTGGTCATGCTGCAAGTGACAAAAGGCATAGAAAGCGCTGCCACAGTCTGTGCCTGCAGTCATCTGGTTTTCGGGTGTCAGGGACTTCAATTACTGTCCCCAGGATCTGTGTGAAGTCAGGATGTTTCGACAGTTTCCTAAACCCTAAACCCCAAGCTTGATTTCGTTAGCGAGGCACAAAAGCTTGAATTCAGTACTACTGTTTGGTTTAGCGGGGCTCAGCCGCTTTGCAGGCGGCAGGCGCATCAACAAAGTTAGAATCCGACTGCAAGCCGTGAACCTCAACCGGCAAGCGTAAATTTGGTTTTGGGTGTTTAAAGCTCATGCGATTCCATCCCCGAGATGTTGGCACGTGGATTTTTCGTGCACACTGCATGGGTTCAGTGCAGCGCAGCGAGAACATCCTCCCGCTGTAATCGACATCCCTGCATCGTTTTGCTTCAGAGTTGTACTTGGTTTTTGTTATGGAGTCTGTCTTCGATTGTGCTAAAATGGGCCTGCTTGAGAGCTCTGTTGCGCACGACTCGTGTAAGCAGTGGCAGCAGCACTAAGAGCCGTCAGAAGTGGGATCGCGGCAGTAAAGGAGTATATCGAAGTGGGGTCTATGTCCTGCACCCATGGCCTGTGATTACACATGCTCGAGCCGTGCCCATACTTGTAAGTGAGTCAAACGCTCAGATGCATGGGGCCTCCCGGATTCGGGGAGTCAGGTTCACAGTGCCAGTCCAAAAACAGTGAGTACTAGCCTTAAAGCGTTAAGAGTACTTGAATCAAGGAGCTGTTTAGCTTCCTATCCTGTGCTCTGGTTTGCTGAGTGCTTCGGACATTCCCTAGACAGCAGGTGAAAAGTGCTTCTCATGGTAGTGGACTCGTGATTGAGGGCCCACACTTCAGGGATGCCACGGGCTGTTGCGGGGATCTACGGCGGCAAACCCTGGCAGTACTTGCTGAGCTATTGTCGGAGGTTCGGACTCTCATTCACTTGGCTGCTGATGACGGTGGTGGTGGCCACATATGTTACATTGTTACATCCACAGTAGTGCAACCGCTAGGACCCTGATTCGGGGCCTACTACACTTCCTGGTCGGTAGTACATGGAGGTCCCACTTTCAGCCTTCACCGTGCTGTTAGCCCGCAGGTCTCAGCTTCTTGCAAGAGGAGCGGTGCGCCTGGCACTTGGACTTGGGCTGTCCAGTCGCAATTTCCTGCAAGAAACTCCTCTTTTTGCAAGATCGGGTTTTCATACAGTGATCATAATTTTTGTCTATGGGAGGCCAATTGACCTTACAGAGCCATGCCACAAACACCAGCTGCTGGAGCAGCAGCAGTGGACGACCCAGAGAAAGAACCGACGAGCAGAACCAGACGCCCGAAAAGTCCGTGATGTCGCGAAACCCAATCTCCGCTCAATGCAGGAACCTGAGCCCACTTTCGGCTGACCCAGAACCCCAACGACCGCACAGCCACCTTCTGCGCTGCATCACACCTAGCCCTGCGGTGCAGGACTGTCATCCGATGGGCCAGCACGTAGAATCTTTTGTCTGAGCCATGAAGCGAATATAGGCGCCTATAATGATTACCTTCAGTATTTTGGGGGATCCTTGTTATAGGTATAGTATAATATACCACAAATACCACAACACCCTATTCTAATTACAAAGGCCCCTATATTCTAGTAGCCGCCTGTCCAACTTGTACCCCACAGATGACGCGACATCTTGCAACCCTCCACCCCAAACTATAACCGCACCGTGAATTTTGCGCCTCTGAAGCCCCGAAAAACAGGGGACAGATGCCCAGATCGTCAAATCCATCAAGCGTCTGAATTCCCGATTTTCTCGAAGTCCTACAATCCCCGACGCACCCCCAAGCCTGACTCGTGGAGAAATCAGGAGAAGAACAAAGGAAGGAGGAGCCCCGAACATCAGCCATGAGCGCCGTCAGCATACAGCATAAAGAGCTTCTCACATGCAACTATCGCAGTAAGCCTGGCTAAATGTCAAAGTTGTTGCAGAACGAATTATAAAGGCCTTCACAGCGAGTCCCTTTGAGGATGGCACGGCAGAGCGAGGGAGAACAACCTACCAATAATGGTACATTCGTTTGGGATCCCTGATCAGTTTGTGCTAGCTGCTATATTACACCCCAACAAGGGTGTCTAAGTCCTAAGGCCACTGGTATGAATCAGGCTTATGGGGTGCAGCCCCAACATGGCTAGAGTGCTGCTAGAGCTGACAAGGTCTACACGCGGGCGCCACCACCAAACTCGCCTGGAGCTCGGGACGGGACGAGAATCGGAAATCAATCCAATACTACCTGTAGTCTCCATTGTAGTTCCTTTTGGGGGATACCTTATAAATTCCTTGATATATAATTGGTCCTGCCTCATGACGCAAGTGTTGTTGGGTACACATCCCGGTGCCCCGACGTTTGGGAGACTTGAGCATGCAACGCCAGAGATACGGGGAGCGTTAGCGCCCTTGGACGCACAGTCTCTACATGACCGCCTAGCGGCCAGCTTCCGAGAGAGAAAGGGAGGGACTCATGGAGTGGGATGCCTCCCTGTACCCTAAACCTAAACCCTGCTAAGGGTGAGCTGCCACGACGGACGCATTTATGAGGCCTGAGTGGGCCAAGCTGACGCCAGTGGAACTTGGGGGGCTTCGGCTGATTCTACAGTGTCATTATAGTGTAGCGGCTTAGATAATTACCAATACCAATATTTCCTAAAGCATTACCAATACCAATATTTTAGGCGTTCCTTAGTATAATTATAGTATAATGGGCCCCAAAACCCTATTCTAGTTACTAAGGCCCCTACACTACGGCTGTGGGAGTCTAGGCATCGGATTTGTTTGTCAGAGAAACCTTGGATTGTCGATTTCGATGCCCGAGTGGATCTGCATGTGCAGGGAGATATGACAAATGGGTGGTTGTCAAAATTATGGTCCCTTTTTGGGTCCTTATTATAATACGGCACCTATTATTTAGGGTACCCCAAAAGGGACCAGAATTTTGACAACTACCCAAATAGAGAGCAGTCTTGAATCGTCTCCGTCCCGATTCCAGGTCATGTTACAGTACTGTCCCAAACTCGGACCTCGATGTTCAGCCTCGAGCATGGCAAGCCCAAGTCTCTCATCCCCGTTCCTGTGTGTGACGCCTGGCAATGTCGGGTAATTCCAGCACAGACCCCATGAAAAGCGGAACCAAATCCTCAAGCTCCAAGACATCCCACACTTCCCTGTGTGCCTGTGTGGGCTTGACGCATGACAGGTTGATCTTTGCGACAAGTTCAAATGCACCGGGCGCCTGGCTCTAGAAGACTGGACGACTTTATATAGTGTTTCGGAAATTTGAGCTTGAGATAGCTTAAGGGATGGCATGGCCTGTCTGAAGACGCCAAACCTGAATGGAAGTAAGAGCCACGACAGGATGTAACATGCGTCGTTGATGGCTTGTTCACTTGCCTGTCGAATCTTATCTATCGTAGCACCCCAAGGCGTGACAGTCCTTACAGCCCCATGTGAAACTCCAACAAGCATGATGCTTTGAACCCAGAATCCTGAAAGATTCGTGTACGCAGTGCACCTGGTGTTCCATATAGTTACAGCTACGGCAGACCGCTTGCACTTGAAGCAGCAACAGCTGACGACCAATGACGGACTGTCACGATTACATGTTGCGCACAGATGCAACATTAAATACGCCAAGTAAGTAACTATAGCATGTATATACATATATATATATATATACATATATATATATATATATGTATTATACATGTAATATGTGTATGTGTATGTGCATATGGAATCCAACCGTCTGTGACTGCTTAGCTGAGGGCTTGCAGAATCAGTCGTGAAGCCAAAGTTCGAAGCACTTAGACTTAAACTCCCTGGATCCGATATCCAGCAGCCCTGCAAGTCCAAAAGTCTGCAGCCCTATGGCCTGAGTTTGGGGTTTGTTTGGGGTGTCTTCCAGAACCTGTATGTGTATGTGTGTGTACATATACATATGCTTGTGCCCCTGCCTGCAAGGTTCGGGTTGAGATCTTAGTTTTTACAAGTACTGTAATACCAGACTGCAGTGCACACCAACAAATAGGTCAACATATGCGATTGTGTTTGCATGAACTTCAACATACTTTTGCCATGTACACGTTGCGTCGTGTTGGGGGCTCTCGTATTGCTTATCGTCTTCCGCACGGATCAGGTCGCGCTTGCCCTGTGGAGCTCGGGTGGAGGCAGGCTCAGAGCTTTCATCTAAACCCTCAAACCCGCAACCCCTAAAGCCTAAGCCTTAAACCCTAAACCGTGGCTCATCCTTGCTAATTGCGAGGGGGGGAAAACCCTAAACCCTATCGTAAGTTGAGCCTGAAACCATGGGGTCCCATGTAGAGCCCCGATCAGCCCTCAAGATGGTGGCTATCCCTAAGGGTCCATGTACCCAAATGGGGGTTTCCGAAAATAGGGGACCGTAATATAGTACCCCAAATAATGGGATCCTTATTATAAGGACCCCAAAATAAGGTACCCCCAATTTTCGGAAACTCCCAAATGAGTATATACTATGGCCTTGAAGTAGTCCCTATATAGGTACTTTGAGGCCAAAGTATATACTATTTGGGTACATGGACACTTAGGCTCTTCTTTGTCCAGGCCGAGTATCGAGAAGGAATGGTTTTCCGCAATGCCAGCGAGGCGAGAACCAGATTGCAGTTTTAGAGTATATCAGAGTCTACCGTAGCACAAAATGTGTTGTATCAGGTTACATCATATTGTGTTATCATGTGTTGTATCCTTTTATGTCGTATCACGCTACGGTACAACATGCTATGTTCCTTCTCTTCTGTTATGTTATGTCGAATTATACATGATATGTATGTATGTATGTATGTATGTATGTATGTATGTATGTATGTATGTATGTATGTGTGTATAATATATATATATATATATGTATATGGCAATATGGGTTCTATAGGTTTCCTCTTCCAAAATAAGTGAATGTGTTGCTGTACATTCCTGCAGGTGTGGATACAAACCCGCAGGAAGTGCCACGTGGCAGACCGGCATGCATCCTGCCTTCCTCAAATTTCAAACGCTTTCTCAAGCTCGAACCTTTTGTCGGATTCTGTTGGATTGTGCTGGCTGCATCAGCCCCGCGAGGTCAAGAGCCTGGCAGGAACAGGGCGAGCATTCACCAGGACTTGCGCTGGCAACTGAGACAATATTGGCTGTGGTGCACCTGGTCGTGGACGGCATATCTGACGGAGGGCTCCACCGAAGATCCTCAATTGTTGGGGTTTGAAGCTGTTTCTGTTCGTACACAGTTGAGCACCCCAGCCTTGACCACAGAGCCCATGAAGCATGTCAGTGCTACTTTGCGTGCTTCGAGGCTCCGCCTAAACTGGTGGAGACAATTCCCGAGACGGTGATTGAAGGCAACTGTCATGTACGATCTCGACAGAGTTTTCCAGAGTAGTCGTGCGAGCAATCCGTTTTGGATACGTGTGCAGTGAGACGGCGATGTTTGATAGGCTGATCGGCTGATAGGCCTCATCATGCAGCAGGCATGCAAGCCGTTACCTGTGTTGAAGAGTCCGAAACTTGGCATCCCGACGCAAAGTTGCAATGCGCTGTATATAGGTGTTCCCAGAGGTCCCGACACCCGTCAGGCTCGCAGGTGCAGATCAAGTGGAGCCAGCCGGTGCGGTTTTCTTCGGCAGGCACGGGGCAGACTGCAGCGATGTCGCTGCAGGTTGTAAATCAATCTGTCTATCAACAATGAATAAAGGACGAGGGCAGAAAGACCATGTGAAAGGTTGTACAAAGGCTCAAGCACAACTGACAGCCAGCGCATCATTTGTTTTTATTACTGTGACATACTGTATCACAACACTATAATTTCACTGTTGCCATCATCATCATTATTACCGTTATTACGGTTGCTATTAGTAGTATCAACATGATCAGTATGCTTGTGCTGGGAGCTCGTCGCTTCCATTCTTTTCGGGGGCGTAGACACCGCCAGGGCGGAAAGGCGAACGCCTTTTCAGCCTCTGCCATGCCGCAACGCCGGGAGCTTGGTTTAGGGTTTAGGTAGACATTTGATGACTGTGTTAAACTCCCCACATAACTATACAATCTCTTCCAAGACCCTACTCTGAACAACCAGCCCCCTGTGGTAAGCCAAGCTTCAGCACTTGCACCAGCATGAACTGATGTTTCCACAACAAACTCGAAAATCCATGAAAAGCCATGAGATGAGCTGCGCACGCATACCCTACGCACGATTGCCTGCGCGGGTTCGTATTGCCGTCGTGGTGAGTGTATAGAGGGCTCCTCAGAAATTCAGGTGAGTGCATGCTTTGAGTTGTGAGGTAGACGAGCAATAACGTTCATGCATCTTACGTGTACCTATGTATATATATATATATACATATATACATATATACAATTATATACACACGCACATTTTTTTGTAGAGATGCGGATATAGTCATCATGCATTTGGCCGTTTATAGGCGACTGTGCGCATGCATGTTTGTAGGTGTGGGCGCGCAAGTCTGCCGCCATGGTGATGTCGAATCTCGAAACGTGGGTATAGAAGTGGTAAGGGTAGCTCCTTCAAGACGTGGATCACTTGGGTGTCAGGGGATCAAGGCGACTGGCTGCGACTGGTGTTGCTGAGGCTGTTTAAGCATCGGTGAAGTGGTCTTTTCAATGTCGCAATTTCTATGTCCAAGCCTATGTTCTGCTCTGTTGATTTTGTGAAGGCGTCGGCATTTCCCAACTAGCTGTGCCTTTTGTTTTTGGCTTTCGTGCTTCGGTCGACGATTTTTTTGGATTTCAGGAAGTATCTCTGCAACTTCGGTGGGAAAACATGTGAACAAATCTTTCTGTTTCGGAGCGGTGAGGGCCACAGCACAATACCCACGGGAAAGTCGTGCTAGCAGACAGTTCAGCAGCAGTGCAGCACTATCGTGGTCCTTTCGGTTTGATGCATGTCGCCATTAATCATGAAGCCTTACAGCTGGCAGGCGGTGCAAGGACCCCTGGCCCCTAAATCTCGCAACCAGATGTCAATGAGGCAGGAACTGGCCTGCCCAATCGTTGACGAGGCAGGCTTTGTAATTAAGTTTGTGGTTCCAAGTTTTGGTTTAGGTCCATTGGTGGGGCTGCCCTTCGGAAGAGTTTGGCAACAAGCACGGTAGTAGCGGTTGCGTATTTTGCCTGGTAGAACTAGAACCAGTCAATTTCGTAAGAGTAAAGGCGTGAATAAACAATTTGAAAAAATCAAGTGAATATGTACACATGCGAAGAATATGTTTTCTGCATGCCACTCTACCTATTGTGCCGTTGCCACCAACGCCAGTTTGTTTGTTGCAGTGGCGCAGTCGTGGCCTCCACGGGTCAAGCTGTTGGTCGACGAAAGTAGGTGTTGTGACGAGCTGCCAAAGTCAATGGTTCACTGGAGGTGAGACATGGCAGCTATTACTAGGGTTTTGGCTAGCAGGAACCCCGTGAGTCCGGTTGAATGCAGGAGAATCAGTCTGCAAAGGTCGGAGAAAGTGGTTTTTTTGGCAAGCAGCAGCGCCTGTGACATCAATCGTGCCCACCGTATAGAGCGAGTGTCCAAGAGACGCCTTGTGCCAATGCAACAAGACACCGGACGCACGGCTGTTTCTGGAGACGGGCGGACAAGGCCGCTCAGAATTATTGCAGACGGCAGGGAGAGAGAGAGAGAGAGAGAGAAGCCAGGCCCTGTGGAAGAAGAGGATAGACAAGAGAAAGAGAGAGGGCCAGAGAGAGAACGCTGGGGGTGGGGCACAGCTTTTTGCAGGCCTTCGACGAGTCCAAGGCTTGGGTGAACGGGCCGGTGAATCCTCGTGTTTAGGACTGCCTCTCTACATTATGTCTTGTATAACTTGCAATGTGTGTCGGCATGGGTATGCATGTATGCATGTTCTCTATGTACGTATGTGTGTGTGTGTGTGTGCATGTATGTGCATATATATATATATATATATCCAATCGTCCATCCGTATGTATGTATGTATGTATGTATGTATGTATGTACATATGTAAGTATACACATACACATCTGTTTATATGTACACGCATGAGTTCCGGTTGCTTAAAAGTTGTTTATCGCGAGATGGAATGATAGACGGGCACTGTAGGCTTCTGCAGGGTGTTGATTATCTCTGTATATGTGTATATTACTATGGTATATAAGCACATGATTTCCGCCGTTTTTAAATGTGCATGCGACTGCGTTTTTTTTTTTAAATTTCTCACGTGTTCAGAGACGTTCTGGGTTCATGGTGACTTCGGACCTAGGTCTTTGAGCTGGGTCTGGGGGGACAGGTCGCTGTTTCAGCCTTTCCTGAAGGTGTCGCAGGATGGCAGGCATACTTGACTTATCTTCAGGGTGTTATGGTATTGGCGCTCAGGTTCTTGCGTTGTTTTTGCCTGCAGAGCTTCTGACCATGAAAGCCTGTGGCGAATCGCCAGTCCCATCTGCAAGAATCCGGGTGTGGCTGAGTTGCAGCAGCTCCACTGGTCGTCAGCCTTGTCGTGCTAGTGTGATCCGATGGCGGGGATGGTCATGGTAAATGTGGAGGAAGGAGCGGTGGTGGTGGCGGTGCTGGTGATGGGGCCGTGGTGGCCGGAGGCGCCAGCGGTGGTGGTCTTCGCTACCGACAGTGGCAGTAGCAGAGGCTGTCGCAGTACAGCAGCAGCAACCGCAGAAGTAGTAGCAGTAGTAGTAATAGATGCAGTGGTAGCAGCAACAGCAGCAGCACCAGCAGTTGCAGTAGCAGTAGCAGTAGCAGTAGCGATAGCGGTAGC